TGGCTGTAGGTATAGATGATGAAGAGTTGAATATAAGTGAGGAAATAATGGATGGAGAATAAAAGTAAGAAGATGAAAAGATCAGGGATAGGGTAGGATATGTGGGATATGTAGAGTATATAGTAATAAGAGTTGATTGTGAAGATATTCAAATAACAAAGAGCATAGAAAGCAAAGCACTCAACTAACATGCAGATGGTTCTGTGGAGTGTTACAAGCTAGGATTGTTCTAGGTGTTAAGTGTACTACCAGTAGTATTGGGGGTCTGGTCCTTCATGTATAAATACCAGAGCAATACAGCATAGAGAGGGCAGACTTGTTATACTTGTCTACTCCTTGTCTACTTACTCAAAGTCATTCTCAGAGCTAACCACTCAAGTCAAGCCCCCAGCTTAATATACAATCCAGCCAACACCTCTTATAACCGGAAGTGAGTGTTTGGGGTTAGCGTTTGCCTTTGGAGTCAAGTATCAAGGTGATACTTTCATAATGTTCATGCCTGCACTGTAGATGACCACTCTGTAAGGTGGGGAGTGCATGCTCTTCTGGTACACATTTGTAACAGTTATTGTTCTTCTTTGTATAAATACAGACTGTGTAATACAATGCCTGGCCCTACTGGTATAGGGCTCATATTGGAGCTTGTCCTGCATATGATGGCTCTTGCTTGGTGGTGTGTCCTACTGTCTGGTCATCTGTCACAGAGACTAGGACACCTCTGTTCCTGGTGAACAATGGACCCCTCTCATGGCTGTGGTGGATGCCATGCAATTAGCCCTCTCATTCAGTGTCCCATATGTCTATGCACTGTGCGATGAAGGCATACTGCTGCACTGTCCCAGTCTCAGACATTCTTGTGTCTGTCTGGCCTACAAGCTGGCTGAAGGGGCACATGGCCCTGCAGGATGAGCTAGGAGGTTCTAAACCACAGATGGCAACTATTGGGAAGGACATCTAATCTAAGTAGCAGGCAACCTTATGTTTCCTGTGTTAAGGGACCTGATGACTGAGGATCAGGAGTTCAACTTATGACTACTACTGGTACTTATACACATAGGGCTGACACATTATACTTAGATTATACTTGTAAACTGAGCCACTTGATAGTGGTTTGAGAGTGTATACTGGTTGAAGCAAAGCTTCAGACTAGAACTGGATAGACAACTGTGTCTATTACTGAAGATGTCCCTATGAAGTTACATAGGGAACAAGAGGATAAAACTGAAGTATAGTAGTTTAAGTAGTGCGCCTTAAATAGAGCAAGATAAATAGAGTTCAATATATGAAACATACTGAGTTGCATCAGTGTAAGTCAGAGATGAATGTGAAATAGTTTCACTGGGTTAGATGAGTGATGATCATGAAACATGATGTAGATGAGATGCAATATAAGTAAAACATGATATAGGTGAAAAGTGATGAAGATGAAACACAATATATATGAAACAGTGATGAAGATGAAATGCACTAAGTGATACAAACAGTTATGGTAGTACAGGGTCAACAACAAATAGTAAGTGAGAAAAGAAAACCACCCTCAAGACTGCAGCATCCTTACATTTCTGGTACACAACAAATTTTATGACAATTCATGTTAACATGACTGAGTACATGGTGTTTGAGGCACCTGAGGTTGGCACCATTGCTCTACAGTAGGGGACAAAAGTGGTGCAATGTTTGCAACAGTTGTGTTGCTAAGCCTATACCCAATGAACCAGTGTAGTGGGAAATCCTAATGCACAACACTCTTTTCCTCAGTCTTCACCATCTCCATTTTGTTCTTTCTCCCTCTCCCTCTCTCTCTCCCATCTTAAATCTTCTTTCATCCTGTGTGTATTATTTCTTGGACAACACTATCAGTGCGAGACCCATGTCTGATGTGTTTTGAACAGATGAGATGTAGGAACTATGCATGAGATGACGAGCCTCTTGCACCTGAAGGGGGCAGGTGACATATGTCAATAGGACACTGTGATATTATCATTGTGTCAGCTGTGAGCCATTGCTCAATCCTGGGAGAATCTTAACAACTCAGCAACAATGTTTATGCTGATGACACAGCATCCAGAATGTTTTAGGTAGTTCCCTTACTAGGATAGGTATATGGATTGTGAATGTGTGTCCAGTTTGGCAATGAAACATAGTTTAATTTCTTGGAAGCTAGGGATGTATAAAGACAAACTTGCTAGGGTTGCAAAAAAAGAATCTTCTCTGGGTTGAACTTTCCTTGCTCCCTTGCTTGAGTATGTTGAGACCAAGACGAGAGGATGGTCTGCCAGAAGCTCAATAAAATGAGGACAGCTAGAGTCCAAGATGAACATCTGATATATTAAATAGTAGACCATGTAGCTATATACCCAGAGTCCGAGATGAGCATCTAGGGAGCCAGTATGCCTCGGACTCTGGAGTACAAGTCCTAGAGTAAACATGTACAACTACAGAAAGTGGCTTAGGTATAGATGATGAAGAGTTGAATATGACTGAGGGAATAATGAATGGAGAATAAATGTAAGAAGATGGAAAGATGAGGTATAGTGTAGGGAGTATGGGATATGTGCAGGATATAGTAGTAAGAGACCATTGTGAAGATATTTAAATAACAAAGAGCATAGAAAGCAAAGCACTCAACTAACAGTTGGTGTGAAGCAATTGTATTTGCATTGGTAATACTGATTGAGTACTCAAGTACTCATGTCCCGAGTTACCTGGGTCTTTTAACCTATAGTATTTGTACTACTTGCTCGCACACATACTGTAGCATGTTACAAATAATCATTAGCAACTCAATCTTGCAAAGCCCATTTGTCTATCTTGCCATTACTTTAATGCCAGTGAGTGACTTGTTAAGATTAATCTGGCAGTTGCTGTGCTTAACTTGTCAACAGTAGTTTTGCTAATGGCTTGTACCTATTGGGTGTGCCATATTTAGGCTACACCTTCATCATTGCCTCTTAGACTACCTATATTGGCATGCTGTCAGGACGGAAGAATCTCCAAAGCTGGCTCTTGATCCATCATGCACATATACACAAGGCTCCTAGACAAGTTTGCATTGCGGCTGAGACTCTGTCTAGCTTGACTTGAAATCCCTTTATGCTTGTCAGGAACAAGGTTTGTAGGAGTATAGAAATAGGGTCTCAATCCACCTTTATTTTGACCTGGTCATCAGCCCTCACCCAGGTGTTCAAAATCTCTATCTTCCCTCAGACACCTGATGTTGCTGGTATTGAACATAAGTCTACTAGAAGCTCTTGGACTCAGAAAACATGATTATAGCATGTGAAATGTTTCTCACCCAGTTTGGCTAAATAGGCCCAGTAGAAATCTGATTTTATACAGATTGGAAAGGTTGAGATATCCTTTGCATACACCAAGTCCACCAGCCCACATGATTCCTGCCTTGCCTTTTGCAACTAGTTGAAGGTCATTGTCCAGTATTTAAACAGCATTGTTGCAAGTGGGATTTCCAATAGTAAGTAGCCCTCTCAACTGATGGCAATTCATGGTGTTAACTATAGTAACCTTGGGATTCAGATGTAAGCAGCTTCTCAATCAACTGTGTGCCTATGAAGAATTTAAAGATAGAATATGTACCTCAGTTGGGCTGCACAAATTGTAGAATGTGTTAGTTGAGTGCTTCGCTTTCTATGCTCTTTGTTATTTAAACATATTCGCAATGGTCTCTTACTACTATATGCTGCACATATCCCATACTCCCTACACTATCCCTCATCTTCCCATCTTCTTACCTTTATTCTTTGCTCATGATTTCCTGAGTTAAGTTCAACTCTTCATCACCTGTACCTACAGCCACTTCTTGTAGTTGTACATGTTTACTCTTGGACTTGTACTCCAGAGTCCAAGGCATACTTGCTTCTCTAGATGTTCATCTTGGACTCTAGCTGTCCTCATATTATTGAGCTTCTGGCAGACCATCCTTTCGTCTTGGTCCCAACAGAATGTGACATATTGTGCTGATCTATCTGTCAAAGATATAGGATACAGCTCCCCTATAGTTGTGTCAAGGTATTGCCCTTGACCATAACCCTAACCCCTAACCCTAACACTCACTTGTGATGTTAGAAGTTGCAAGAGATAAGCAATGAGCTTTTCTTGAGCCCAGCTAACTCAGAGGAAGAGTTTAGAGTGAAGCAGACAAGGGTAGTACAAAGTAAGATCAGACTGCCTCTCTACACTGTATTGTTCTGGTATTTTATACATGAGGGACCAGACCCCTAATACTACTGGTAGTACACCTAACACCTAGGCTGACTGATGCTCTACATATGCCATTGGCTATCTAAAAATACCTGACATGTGAACACTCTGCCTCACATTGGATCACTAGTTCAACAAAAATGATCACCTGAATGGCTGGGTGTGGTTCTAGGTGTGATGGGGATATTCCCTTGTAATGGGGATATTCCATAGCCCTTCCCAATTGATGGGACAACCACCTGACTAGTAACATGTCACTATCTATTACACTATTCTTATTTAGTGAGATATCTAATTGGATACAATGTAGATCATCTAGATGCTAAGATAAGATAGATGCTAAGAAATTCTATGACAGCTATTGACCATTCAATGATAAGACATACTTGTGTTCCCCAGCAGACACCACAGGTGCAGAGAGCAAGAGCAAGCTGGGCCAAGTGAGTGTCCAAGGCTTTGTATAAGAGTTTCTGGTTGGTATGATCTACAACTGCTATGCTCTGTAAAATATTGACAGCATGAGTCCAGAATGCTTCATGAACCAAGTTATACAGGAGTGTGGATTTGGGAGCAATACTGAAGCTAAGACCCTTATCCAGAACTTGTGGTAATTCATTACTGGGATGAACTACTTGTCATAGAATTTCAAAGTGTCTATCTTATCTCAGCACTAAGATGATCTATATCTGATTAGATTAGATATTTTCCTGTTTAAGTATACAATTAGATAGTGACATGTGACTAGTCAGGTGATCACCTATCATTTGGGAAAGGCTATGGGAAATCCTCATCACAAGGGAATATCCCCAGTAGTGCTTAGGATTGATTACACATGGTCATTCAGGTGGTTGTCAGTTGAGCCACTGACTCAACACAAGGCAGAGTGTTCACACATCAGGTATTCTTAGATAGCCAATGGTGTATTAGGAGCATCAGCCAGTCTAGATGTTAGGTGTACTACCAGTAGTATTAGGGGTCTGGTTCTTTATGCATAAATACCAGAGCAATACAGTGAGACAGGGCAGACTAAGCATACTTTGTCTACCCTTCTCTCACTTTACCAGAAACATCCTCAGAGCAAGAAGCGCATACCCCTTCCTCCCCTTCCTATTTCCCATTCTTCAGGACCCTCACTGAACAACTCCAATTCATAGAAACACAAATTGTGGGTCTCTGTGAATCCAGACTTGAAAGTCATGGCCAGCAAGAGCTGTACCAAGGGTACATCAAGTTAGCAGGAACACTTCATGAAAGCATCAGGATTGGAGAGCAGGATCAGAACATAGCCAAGAAGTCAAGGTTAGAGCATCCCCTATACCCACCTCACCACATGCACCCATCCCAACTCAGTGGTTCCTACAGAGAGTTGCCTCATTGCCTGAGGTTATCAAGATTGCCAGAAGCACCTTAGAAGAAGCACTCTGGGGATGAGTCAGTGGCCTGGAAGCTGAGCTTATACTAGCAATATTACAGCATTAAGTTGTCAGTGGTGTGATAGAACATATGTGTGCAGAATCAGAGGAATCACTCAGTGATCTGAACAACTTCAATTAAACTCTAGCACTATCATTCTCACCACCCTTAGCACTGGAAGTATTGGGCACACCCACCCCACAGTACTCACTGCCACTACCAGCATACATTCCCCCACCCTCCCAGTATTCAGACTTCTGCTTTATAGCTGAAGGAATAGCTGAAGCAGAAGCAGAGCAAGCCAAATGCATCTGTTGTGAAGGAGAG